GGATGGAGATTCTCCTTGCCTCTCTTTTTGCAGCATTCCTGTTGTCCATTGCATAAGCTTCAATTAGATAAGGAATTTTTTGCTTTTTCTGTTATGTTTCCTTTTAATCCTTACCACTAAATTAATGTAGAATAATATACTACATTACACTGTGAGTTTATTATTTTAGATAAGCTGTGGAATTTGAATTGGCTTTTCTATTTATGATGTCATTGCTGAATTGGTGTAACTCGTATAGCATGAGTGTTCAAGAATACATTTAAATTAGTGATTCATATAAATGTAATGATTTTTCTGTTACCGATTCTGTTCTTTTTACTAGCATTGTACTTGCTCTTTGTGCTTTCAACTGAAGATTTCATTGAAGTCCACCTTTATCCCATTTACTCGAGGTGAAAACTGTTACCTTAGTGTTCTACAAAGTAGACAAAAGATTCAGAAATTTTCTTTTCATTTTTAGGATTGGACTTCTTTTTGCCGTTATGTTGCTACTTGACCACTCTTTTCCACTGGAAGTCCCTCAAATCTTTTTTGGCTCTTGATTACCTTCTGGTCATCTATAAATTTTCCTGCCTCATCCTTTATTTGCCTTTCCTCTATCTTTTCGATAGTAAATTTTATAAGCAGTGAACCTTTTTTGCAACATTAAGGACTTCAGCTTTTTAGCTGTTACTAGATAAGAATGGGCATTTATTTGAAATCTTCACTTTCTTTTTGGGTAGTTAGTTGTTATTGACAATGCTTTGTCTCTTTGGTATGGGGTTATGAGCTGTTTATGGCAGTATAAGGCAGGGCAGCCTATCCTTAAGGGAAGGTTGATGTTTCCCAGAGGGTATAAATGCGCACTTGGACTGCTTACCATTAAGTAGTAGGTGGTCCTGCTTGAGTATGAATGTAAAGATTTTCTCTGATGACGATTTACTCTTGGTAAATGACTAGTCCGTGTGGTGTGTTATTCTGTATGTAACTAGGCTGTTTCATTCTCAGTTACTTATTTCTGCCCTTGCTCTTTTCAACATTCTTCCTTGCTTCACATAAATCTTGTAGAGGTGGTTTAAAGAGTTGGCTGTTTCCCTCTGTAGCCGTGTCAGATTTGTTACTGTTGGATTCATTTAAAGTGCAACATATAGAGAGGCTTAGACTGTGTCTTTGCTGGGAATGCAGAGTTGCAGTAAAAGCTGGTGTGCATTCCCTCTATGAACTGGACACCAACAGTTCTGTGTTTCTTATAAGTGTAGTAACTAATTCCCTAGTGGAAAATCTACTGAAGGTATTGCCTTTTTTTCCCATATATACGCCAGGCTTGTCTACTAACTCCGGTCTATGTTTAGAGATCGTAGCTCCTCGCATATTGGGACATAGCTATGGCTAAAGAAGTCCATGACCAACTGATGAAGAACATACTCATTAACCACTATTTTCAGTACTGATCACTGCTTTCTCCATGCTACTTGCTGGGAAATGCACTCCTTAGAAACATCCAGGTTAGGTGATCTGCAGATTTGTTTTGGTTTTTTGTGTGTTGTTTTTTTTTCTGCCTTGAAGTATTCTATAGAATTTCTGTTTGCAAAAACTGTTCTTCAGTAAAAGCCTCCTCTGGCCCGTTCTCCCTCCTTTCACCATGTGGTTTTGGGTCTCAACAGCATAATGGTGCTAACAAAATATTGAAGACAAAGAAACCAAGCAGATGAAAAAAATCAGATGTTAGGCTTAGTGCTTATTGCCAGGTGTACTTAGGGAGGTGGTAGACAGGCTGAGAGATTGGGAGTTCCTTGATGTCTATGTAGTATTTTCTTCTACTGCTAGTCTGTGTCATTCCCCATAGCTGTTTGAAATAACGTGTTGAATTTTTAACATTGTAAAGAACATCAGTGATGAATGATCTGCAAGGTATGTAGATTTTGAAAAAGGAAGACTAGAGAAAATAGCTAGAGAAGAGTTGGAAAGGTGTTTGGTTATAGCCTCTGAATGTTTTGACATGAACTATCATGTAATCAGCTGTACAAATGAAAGTATTCTTTAAGTTTATTTAATTTATTTTGCATCCCAATAGCAAATATACACTAAATAGATATATAAAATACCCATTTTATACAGTACTGTCAGTATTGAGAATTCTGTGTGCTGACCTACATGAGAAGTCAGGGCAGTTGAGTTCCAGCTATCTGCTTGCATTCAGGTGCAATTTTAAGGTACTTATATTAACGAGGGATTCTTAACCCGTGAGATTTCAAAACATAAAAGAGGAAAAAATTAAATGAAAAACATTATTACAGTTGTTATAGATAAAAGAAAATGTTTGTGCTGGCCTAAAGGGAGTTTAATAATCATTCCTATTAAGCTTGAAGCATATGATAAATCTTGAATCTTACTTTTTAATGTTCACAATGCATCAAATTATATTAATAGCAAAATATTGAAGGCCATTTTCCTCTTAAAGTTGCAAGAGAAAATACGAAAAACTTTTAAACGTTTTTTGCATGTTCTTGATATGAAACCCACCTTTATCTCACTTAATAGGTTATAAAAATATGTTCTAGTTTAGAGACAAAAGACCTCACGATACTGTACCTTTTTATTGCTTCTTTGCTGATTATCAAAAATGGCACAAGAAGTTGTCTTTGAAGTCTGGTAATTTTTTTTGCAACTTTTCTTACAATGCTTTTTGGCAGAGGAAAAGGTCCTTGCTGTGGAAAAAGCCACTTCCACTTGATTTTTAGAATTTATTTGAACGAAAGAATATGTCAAAACTATGTGATTTAACTAAAGAATTTAAGACCTTTAAAAGGAAACATCAGATACAGTTTCCAGTTCCACTTCCAAGAGTCCTTCCATAAGATATAAAGGCTTTTGTTTAAATTATTCAAATGTAGGTCGAACATTGTCAAATAATACAATGGACCCAACTAACATATTGTTTCTTATTAATTATCTCTGAAATAGTAAATACTTTGTAAACTGGTTAAATAGTGTAAAATTGGCATTTTTCTGCATATTTCAAGTATTGTAGAACCAATTTGGGCAAGTTGCTTTTTGAAATGACCAACTTTGGTATCACTTGAGGAAATTTCCAAGTTGCACGCTGTTTCTGGCTAAAATGCAACGGAAAGTTGAAGGCTGAACCTCCCAGTACTTTACAGGATTATTGAAGAGGCTTATGCCACTGTATAACGCTTTCTTCTTTCTTCCTCCTGTTGGACAGAAATCATTCACTCCCAGTTTTGCAATATGATTAGAATGAAGGAAGACTACCTGGAAAAATAAGAAAGAATAAAATACAATAGTTAGTATGTAGATGGCAAAAATATCTAAACATTCATTGGTGTAGAAATAATTGAGGTTTGCTATAGGAATAGTCGGATGCAGACCTTAATAGTAACAGGAATTAAAAAATTCTGTTAAATCTTTTAAAAATGTCTCCCTCCTGCCATAGTCTCTCCCACATAAAGATGTTATATGGTATTTTATCACTGTGTTGTCAGAACAATTTGACTCAATTCTCATGGAACATTCTCCTAAAATGCAATTTTATATTTTCTTATAGTACAGATTATAATAATACAGTGTTATATTCTCCCATAATGCAAATTTCAGTGATTTAATACTTTTTTAAAAGTAGTCTCTAGAAAAGTTGATATTAGGAGAGATTTGTTGGTATGCTTATAGGAACAGATCAGTCTAATGCTTATGTAGCTTAAATTAGTTTTTAAAAAAAGGGCTTGTGATAGTAGAGTTTAGAATTTGTTAAGTAAAATAATATACACTGATGAAAGAATTCTTTTGTTTGTATATCTAATTTTACATTATATTGTAAGTTGATGTTTGAATTTTAAAAAAACAACATCTCAGAAGATTTTCTTTCAACTGGAAGTTAAATGAGAAGTGGAAAGAAATGAAATTCAGAGATAAAAGCTTTTGCCCAATAGCATATCATGTGCTCTGTCATCTATGCATTTCTTTGTTTCCCCACGCTTTGTTCTGCTCTGTATCCTAAGGTATATGTCATCTTCTAAAACATATTTGATTTTAATTTCTATTTCAGAATTCAGGAAATGTGTTTTGAAAGCATTTTATTGCACAATTTATCTATTTCTAAATACAAATTTTTAAATCTTATCTCATCATTTCAGCTTGGTAAATAATTTTCTTTGGATTTAAGGCTTTTCAGCGTGGGAATGACAAAATTACTACTCTGGTTTACTAATACGGAAACGATAATAAATTTGTAACAAACTTCCTGAAAACATTTTCTGGGTATAGCATGTTGTTTTCCTTTTTTTTTCCTAGGAAGTAGTTCCTGCTGTTTAATCTTGTTTTATTTCTTTAAGTATATATATGATTTCAGGCTTTCCTAGTATGGCAGTCATGTTAAAATATGTGACAGTTAATTATGCTTTTTAATTATATCCTAATCACTGTGACAGTGTGAAACTCAACCAACTCGTAACTACCAGAGCTTTCTATTAAATTTATTATATGACCTGCAGATATTTCAGTTCGGGTAATCCAGGTGGAACTTTCTTGAGTTTATTTTTTTCAAGATGGATTTCACGTATACTTGGTATGTTGGCAAAGCTTCCGTTTTCCACATCTTTGATTTTATTATTCCCAAGGCCTAGCCTAGAAATAGTACAAGGAACATTTAATTAAATACTAATTGAGATTCACAACAGCATTGAAGAGCATGCTTTAATTTTTCAAGATTGAAATACAGAGGAGTAGACATAGGGGAAAAAAAGAACTGCGGAAAGGTGATGAAACCTTACCTCTGATAGAAAAAAAACACCATCAATCTAACAAATATTTTTTCTTCTTAAATTAATCTCCACTTAAAGGACAGCAGCTAGCCTCATGTAAGCAATTGTCCAGTTTTGCAAGCAGTTTTTCTACTTTCAGTGTCAAGATTTAAAATTATAATCATCAAACAATCTGCTTGTAAAATAAATTATGTGCTTTTATCAAGTATTATAGCTACTAAGTATACTCATAGTAATAAAAAGTCTTGGTCTAATAAATAGCCAAAGAGCAGCAAGTCTTGCAAAGAAACAGTCATATATATAGCTTAGTCAAAAACTTTAGATTTTAAAATTACTTCCACATTTTCCTTAATTTAAGCCTTAGATCTGTTGCTATAAGACTTCAGCCTGCGTTGCTAGGAAGATGATTCAGAATGTAGTGGCACAGGGCAGTTTGGAATTGCTCTTTCCACACATCCTGCAATCACCTTTTTCTCCTTTCTGTCCTAATTTCTTCAGAAAGTTGGTATCTACATGCAGTTCAAGTAGTTCCTCGTTGATAGTACTTTCTATTGCCAAATCAAAAATTCAGTGCTGCTTAGCCATATTTTCAGAGTACTTAACTGAGCTTTGCAGAAAGAACTTCCTTCTTTTGTCCTGCATTGGTGATCCATTCCTCAGAAACATGTGGGGTTTTTTGTTTTTCTTAAAACCCATCATGTTTGGAAACAGTTATCAAGTTGTTCCTTTTACCAGCTACTGTATTTCTCTCAGGCTAGTTTTCAGAAGGTGAGTTTATCTTCTCTTATAACTTACCAGGTTTCCCATGTGTTTGTATAAACAAGTTTCAAATTTCCCTTTTCATGCCATGCTTTTATATTTTTCTCTAGAGTTAAAAAGCTATTATGGGTCTTAAATCCTATAAATTTAGTTGCAAGAAAGGCATTCTGTTCCGAAAAGCAAAAATCAGTTGGTGTTGCTGTATACCTTGTTTTGGGGGATGATTTGTGAGATGAAAGACCAAGGACTTAAAGTGCCTGGGCCTGTTAGGGAACAGGCTAGAGAAAGATACTGAATACTGTTGATAAATAATGTGACCACAAAGGCTCATATATTGCAAGTGTGAGAAATACATGTAATGCTTAATTGAGGCATATAACTACTAGCACATTAAGAGATATTATATAAAAGCCACGCTATACTATACAACACCCAGGCGCCATGAGATAAGAATTTATGATGATTACATTTTGTAATCAGATGCTGTTCGTAACATACACTTCTATCATGAACTGTAGGCAAGACATGTAATAACCACGCTAATGCTTGGGAGGTTTTGGGGGGGGTTATTTTGTGGTGTTTGTTTTTTTTTAAAGTTTGGTCTTATTTACAGCAGTTCTTACTAAAATACTTGAAATTTTTAATTCCTTTTCTCCCATTAACAAGAGAAGTATCAAATAAGAGATTGTGCCAAGTCTGACTTCATATTGAATAAAAGCATTCAACATGGGAATTTTACCTTTGAAGATCTTTATACCGGTTAAAATCTTCGACTTCAATTGCTGTGATCTTATTGTCATCTAAATGAAGTTCTAGTAGACTGGAGGGCAATTCTGATGGAAAACAAATGCACAGTGTGAGAAAAACAAGCCAACTTATTTTGCTGGGGTGATTATTATGTTCCAAACAGCTTCTTTCCTTAATGTTTAGGATTGGGTGAAGAATCTTGGGGGGGGGGTTGTCTGCATCAAAGAAATCAGCATTAGATACAATTATGTTAATTTATAAAAAAAATCATCAACATAATTTGGTTTAAAATAGTAACTTTAAAAAAAAATTAAGACGTGAAAGTGCATATGCTAATGTTAAGATTTCAGAGTTCCAAAATGTTGTATAGCTTTCTTTGTAACGGCTTTCATGTACTTTTGGTTAACCTGTCAAAGGTGTAAATTGTATGTTATGTGTAATTACCTAACAGTTGGTAGTCAAAATCCTACTCCTTCCACATGATGTAACAGTTGCACTATTACAGCTCCTGAGATGTGATCTGGGAGGAAAGCTTTCAGAATTCTCTAAGCAAAATAAGATATTTGGTATGCTCTATCCCGTGCTGGTACACACAACGTTTTCTCATGTAGTACCAAATAGTCCCAATTCAGAACTATCAGAATTATCATCTCCACCAGGAGGTGGAGAATCTTTTTTCCTAAATCCTTTTAGTGAAGGCAGAGGAAGATAGTCACAAGTTTGAATTTCTATTTGCTGATCTTATGTTCAGTTTTACTAGCATCTGTCTAGATGGCAGCCTGACACAAGCAAGACAAACCACATGTTTCTGTTACTAAGATGGCTTAGGAGAGCACCGCTCCCATTGCCAGGGCTATTTGTTGTGGCATTTACAATACTGAAGAAAATTAGTATGCTTTATGGTCTGTCTTTATGCCAGTTGACATGCTTTGCTGTTTGTTTGAGCTTTTTTCCAGTTTACAATTCCACCAGGTGCTGCTTCTGTCTGAGTTACAATATTAAGAGGGAAGACTACCCATCTGTCCACTTTAGATTTTAAGTGCATTTTGTAAGTTACCTTTTCTTAATCCTTTTGTGTCCTTATAACATTCACAGATAGAGGGATCTACCTATAAACTTAGTTTCCATTTGTGTAGAATGTGTTCACTTTGAAATCCTATTTGTTGATGGGGTTTTTATCTATTTGACACCACATATTGGACCTCATGCTGTGTTTCCTTGTAGAAGATTTCTCTATAATAAAGACAGAATCGGAATCATTTTATGTATTTTTTTTCTGATAAGTGATATGAGATGGTATTATGATGATACTAGAAGAATGTCTTGTGTGTGTGTGTTGTGGAGTGTTACCGTAGGCAGCCAGATAGCTTCTTAAAATTACCTTAACAATTGGTGTGAGTTGGTTTTGTTTGTTGTTGGCAGGTTTTTTTAGTGTTCTCTTCTACAGGGATGCTTTTGCATATGTATTTGTCTACAGGAAGAGATTAATAAGGTGCAAGTTCTTTATCTGAATGATCCAGAAATAAATATCTTACGGGGCAACATTTAGTTTTCCTGTAAATTAATGAATGATGAAATATGGTATTATGCTTTGTTTCTTCCCTTTTTCTCTAAACTAATAGTTTTAAGCAGTTGAAACTCATGAGAATTTGGTTTAATACTATGGTGACCTACAAAAAATGCAGGTAGGCTGTTGTACCAAGTTCCTTCACGCTACTTTTTTGTGTGTGGAGGTTGGTGATTTGTAAAGTAGTGTTTTAATTTATTACTACCGTCAAATCACAAGTTAATTGTTTTATACGAAGGAGTGATTTAATATTGTAGTATGTTATGTTGAACTTAAGTGAAGTGTTAATATTAAATTTCACTTAGGAAAAGCCCATCAAAAGATGTATAAAATGCTGTATTGGGTTTTGCATCAAGGTGTTTATATTGCAGAGCATATTTGAGCTAGAGTTGCTTGAAACATTCAAAATTCAAGTTAGAAATTTTGGAGTTTCATCTTAAATGCATAAAGGAAGTGGGAATTCTGTATCCTTTATGACCCAGATCAAATATCAGGGGATTTATCCTTTCTTTGTAAGGATTTTTGAGAGGCTGATGTGAAAGATGAGAAGTGACATCTTGTTATCATTTCTTCACATTGTTTCTCCTGAGAAGAGTCTCTGGATGACTCTGAGAGAGGAGTGGACTACCTGATGGGGAGAAGGCAGGAAAGCGAGCGTGTGTCCACGCACATGCACACTTTTGAGATGTAGAATTGAGTACAAAGTGCAAAAAAAAAAAATAAGGTAGGAGGTGGTTTGGTAGTAATGAACAATACAAAACAGAATTTATGAACATTTTAATAATCATATAGATGTTAAAGCTTTTAATTTAAGAGTATAGTGGTATAGGTAAAATAGAAAAGATAAAGCATACCTTTAGGAATTGAAGTTAGTTTAGCTTCTGCAATTCTTATATGATAGATATTTACTCCTTCAAAAGCGCCTGGCTCTATTCCATCATTGTTAAGAGGATTTGCACTCATTTCTGTCCAAGGGGGGGAAAAAAAGTATTTATGGCCTAGGAATTTTGTGTATGTTAGACTGTTATACACAGCTGATTTAATTTTATTTATGATTTCTGATGTTCTAAGTATTTTAGCTTTGATTACATATTCTGAGGGGTGGAAGTCACAGCTTTTAGTGAATAAAGGCTGTCTAACCTGGCTTGCAGGCTTACTAGAAACTTGACCTATGTAGCAACTTCACATAGAAATTAAGTTGTGAAAGAGAGTTTCCACAGCATGGGTATCTCCCTAAGAAGAAATTGCTCATTGGGGAAATGTTTGAATGGAGATTGTTTATAGTATGTTGCATTTTGGACTTACCTAAAACATGTAGAGACTTCATTCCCTTAAATACATCCTTGTGGATTTTCTTAACCTTATTAGCATGAATTCTGAGCTCTGCTAAAGTTTTTGGTAGATTTGTTGGAATCTCAGTTAGCTGGTTATGGGACAAATACAGTCGTCGTAGCTTCTTTGTTGGTTGAAAGGCTTTTGGATGGATCTTGGATATTTTATTGTTGTTCAAAGCCAGTGCCTATGAGAGATGGGAAGAGCAATACAAAGAAAATTTCTTTACACAGGAGTGTTGCGATTATGAATTTGAAGTCATGAATTTGTTACATAATTTAACAATTAAGTATTTAAAATAGTTTATTTTTCCATCATACCAAACTTTAGCACTTTGTATGTACTCTGAGCATTTCAATTGATTGTGAAAAACAAAAAAGAACCTGGAAGCTGGAGCATCAACTAAAACGTAGAGAAAAACTACTCGGAGCTTGACAAGGTGCCAGTGGGTAATGAGAAGGATTGACAAAACTATATGTTTGTCTCATATATTTTGTGGGATTGTATGGGGGTTGTATTATTTTGTTCTTTATATTTCTTTATTGTGGGGGTTATATTGGTTTGTTCTTTAATGCAGACAAATTCTCAAAACTCAGAATTTCATCTTTTATTTCAGCATAATGCTGCAAAATAAAAGTCAGGGTTTTTTCTGGATTTTTTAAAAGTGAATGTTTCTCTATGACTGATAGACACACATGAATTTGTATCTTATTTGCCATAATTTTTCCATTCCTGTGAATTTAAGTCTCTTCTGTACAGTACACTAATCCTTTTTTGGGACAATTTTTTTGTTCTTGGTTGCTATGCATTATCAGGGAACTTGTAATGAGTTACTACAGAAAAAATATGAGTTATCTGAAATTATTTTGCATGTCAAATCACATATCTGCATTTCCGTATATAGACTATTCATTTTTGTTCTTCTTTTACTTTTTTTTAGCTGTTGGTAAGTCCTCTGCTGTCTGGAATTGTGGGGGGAAAAAAAAATATAGCAAAACAAAATTAATATTTATTTATTTATCTCCACCCCCACCCCGGGATAGTTTAAGGAATAAACAGGAAATGCTCCATCCTAATCCAAGTTGCCATCTATGCCTTTGCTAAGTAGACTAGTACTCAGCAAGCTGAACAAAGTAAACTTTGCTTTCAGTAAAAACTTAGTTAGGCCTTGCCACAAATTAACTGATGAGAAAAATCAAAACAGCTCAGAGTTTTCAGCTGTCACATAATTAAGTGACAACTCTAATATATAATGTGGTGATTGCTGATGTATTCCAGTGACTTTCTCAGTCACTGGAGGTTAGTTGCTATAGGATCTTTTACACTGAATATAAACCACAGTTAGTGTGTTTACCCCTAACTTGCTGGTAAGACCATTCTGTACCCAGACACGAGACACTTAAGGAGACCTGGAAGCACTTTGTTGCAAACAATGAATTTCCATGGTTCCTATTTTTCCTATATTAGCTTAACTCATAATAATTAACAAGCTCATTCATAAACACTTAGATATGGTAAATTTTCAGTTTTTGCTCAGAAACCAAATATGACTGAAAAGGTTTTGTTTTATGTTACTTTAATGTGTGTTTCATGTCTTTCTAATGTGGAATAAAATGTCATTAATTTGCTATAACTTGTGGAACAGATTTGTCATTTTTACAATGAAAATTTTAAAATTGTCAGTATTCTTCGGTATTGGCTCTAGAGTGACATCTTATGGAAACAAATACTCCAAAACAGATTTAATGTACCTTTCCAGGTCTCTGAGACTCTCTTATTTTCTTTCATTATAAAAAGGGTTTATTGTGTACTGTAAATATCTAGATTTATCGGTTGCCAGTGATATTTATTTTAAAGCCTGTCTCTTTGTGGATAGTTGAGTGTGTTAAAAAATAGTAATAAAGCACCTGACTTTTTCAGTAATTCAGTGTTGGTCTGTTTTCTGTTCAGATCAGCTGGATTTGTAACATTCGTTTCAGTGGTGTATGTGTGAGTTGTATGCTGTGTGCTTTTGAAAATACCCTCAGAAAATACCGTTCTAGTTCTCCTGTGAGCTTAAGTTCTTTCTGGTATTTTACAGCAAAGCAGATAAAAAGGAGCGCTTGTCTTGCAGCCTTCAAAATGTAGGGAGTGTTTCTGTGCATGCTAAGGACTGACTAAGTCCTCAGGATCTTTTTGGCGAGAGACATATGGTACAGTTTCTGGATGTTGTAGAAAGTAGCATAGTTCTTACAGTGCAAAGAAATTTGCTTTTTACTATGTGGGAGCAGTCAAGTATGCAGGTGTTAGTCTGTATTTTTATGGATACTATTGGAAAAGAAAAATGCCATTTGTATTTTAAAAGTATCAAAATATTTCAGATTGCTAAAGAAGATTTCAAACTTGGAAAATAGCAAGCTTACATAAAGTGACGTGAGTCCTTGGAGATCGTTTTCCTTGACCTCTTTAATTTTGTTGTTTTGAAGGTCAATCATACGAGTATCTGGTGGAATGTTGCGAGGTATTGATGTCAAACCTATTTAAGTATGTGAGATAAACAGAAGCATTACATGCCTGTATGTAAGTCCAAAGAAATTAACTGTTAAACAGCAAAACGCAGTAGGAGTGTTGATGATTATGAGGGGAAAGAATATATGGACAGCCATAAAAGCAAAGGATGGAAGGTAATATTCAATAATGAGAGGAGCTAGGCATGTAAGAATGTATGACAAAAATGTGTGGATTGTTTCAGGAGGAATTCCGTCTACCCTTGACCATGAAAAGCTTGAATGGGGTGCTCATTACAGACTCTTTGCATCTGTAAGACAAGCAGCCTCAGAGCACTGCTTGTTCTACGGGGAAACTGCTGAAGTCCCTGGAGAAAGCAGTCCTCGGAGGACCTGGGGCTGTGGTTCTGTATTTAGGAACAGGGCTGGTGCAGTGGCTTTAAGGGATTTCTGCTCAGCGCTTCAATGCTCCTTTCTACCTCTGCACTGCTCTATCCATTGTGCTGGCACGGGTGCTTATAAGCCATACAGTTAGTATGTATTCTTGGTAAAAGTGGACAAAAGATGGTCTTACAGCTGCCAGTACTTATTACCAGTTGCATAAATTCCCCAATCCAGTTAATTGCTCAGTTACAAAACCACTCAGTTCATGCTGTGTGAGGTCCTGGATCAGCAGAAGAGACTAGCAAGGGATGGTAACTTCCTTTTCAGTGGAAATGCTGATGCATCAAATGCGAAATGCTGGTCCAGTTTATAAACAATTATTCCATAATTGATAGGTTATGGGTATTTAAAGATGAAGTCTATTAATAGGGGTGTTTTTTCTATGTGAGAACTCAAACAAAATAATTTGCAATCTCTAAACCAGATGCAATAACCACAGCTTATTGCTGTCAGCATAAGTTTATTTTGATTCCTTAATAATGACACATTTATTAAAAACCAGCAATTTATGTATTGACTCAAATGTTTCTAAGATATGAAGAGTCTAGGATTAAGTTTAGGGTGGTGGCAGAGCTGTGATGAGAGCGAATGTAATTGTCCCTGTGCTAGCGACAGGCACATAACCTTCTGATTACCTAATTGGCACGATTAATAATGAATTAAAATTTAGGGACTAGGATGTATCTGCAACAGTGACAGTAGCAGATTTGCCTTTGGTTGAAACGTTAGTGGCATGGTGGTGTTGGGCTGATGGTTGGGCTCGATAATCTTCAAGGTCTTTTCCAACCTTAATGATTCTGTGTTACCAGTGATGTGCACTTTAATGGACGATAAGCCGAGCAATGGGTTTGTATCCCATTTATGTGCTGATGTTAAACTTCCTTGTGCTTTGTTTATGGGCTCTTTTTCCTTTGTTATGTTTTCTTGTCATTTCGCCTGTTTCTTTGTAGTTGTGACTGAAGTAATTCTTTAGCCATAGCCTTTTTTTGAGAGAGGGGACTAACAGCTTGCCTAATGCAAACAGAAGATACAGCAAATTTTTGTGCCTCTCTGTTTGGGTAGAACTTTATGAAAGTAAATGAAACAGGAGAGGGGGTAATCTAAAATGTAAATATAAGCATTTTCACATTCTGTGATTGTTCCTTTAGTGGATAAAAAGCTGTGATTAGATGTACTATTAACCCCAATAAGTTGTTGTTGTTGTTGTTATTATTATTATTATTATTATTCTGTTAAATAATTTTACAGTTGTTTGTTACATATTCTGAATGCCTTCCCATTCTGTGCTGTTATCAGTAGAACTCATTGCTAATGGAAGGTGGCTATAGCAGTTTATTAATTTTCTGAACTGATGCACAGAAGCTGGGAAAACATTTCTGTTGTAAAAAGTGCAGGACACAAATTAGTTGCTTGACATAATTAGATACGGTTTGCAAGCCAAACTGAAAAATTGCAAACTCCTTTTGAAAATGACTTGTAAAAGAATATGTGAATGTGTGCAACTTATGGAGCTGCAGAATTAATCTTTTAAAAGGCAAATCCTCCAAAGGAAAGGCCAGCGGAGAACAGACACAGATTCATTCTTACCTAGATCAGAGCAATGGACAACTCTCACATAGCACTGGCATCCAAAGGGACATATTGGGAAGAGATCAAAAGGAATTAGTGGCATAATTGGTTCAGTGGTTGGAAATAGAGAATTGTCATCGTCGTAGTCATCGTCATCTTCTTCCATATCTTGGAGCATCATATTCTTTAGGGTAAAATATGAAGGACTGATGGGAGGTTTGGCAGAGCACAAAGCCAAGAAGAGAAGGAGCATGTATTCTTTCATATCTTCTTAATCACGATAACCAATCTCGAAGAGGAAAGTAAACAAACAAAAAAACCCTCAAACACAAGAATCAGTGAATGTGAAACAGCAAATAAAGGTATTGAACTATTTACTTCGCTCACTGCTACAGTCTCTGGTCCTGAAAAATGGTCTGTTATGAATATTAAGGTTTAATTAGTACGTGAAGGATGAAGAATATTAAAAGCCTTATTTTAAACATAATGTTTATATTATTAAAATTATGTGGTTTAATATTTTAATAGTAATTATTATTTTATCAGACATTAATGCCATATCAAATTTTTTTTTAGTTGAGTTTAAAAAATAGTATCATTTGCTTCAAGTTTTGAAGTGTAATTTGTGTAGCAAATTTTACCAGAACTTGGAATTGTATTTATTTTATTGTTTCTTAATGAAAATATGGTTTTAATAGGATACATTGGCATAAGTGCATTGCTTGTATCTAGAAAATTGAGAAATACTCAATTAGCAATACATAAAATGCACGCATCGGGATACTCCCTAAACACTTTTTATTCTATTCCCTAAGCACTTAATTAAACAATTCTTACTTTAATCTGGAAAAACAGACAGAGTTTTCAGTCCTGACACAGCTTTTCCCAAATTCCAGTCATTCGTATATTATTGCTCTTGAGAGAAGTTCACCTCTGTATTTTAATGCAAGCACACTTGTATATGTCTTTTATTTGATGTCTTTTCTCTGACAAGGGCCTGCAGGTTATGTATCTGTATCACCTGAAATCAGTAACTGAAATTTCATCCAAAAAAAGAGCTGGAAACCAATACTTCTATGTGCATATTTTTTCAATAAACATTTTTTTTCCAACCTAGCTTTGTTGTCCTAGCGCCTGTACATGATAGCAAGGCAGCCAGCTGAAAGGAGCTCAGTATGGGCTGTGCTTGAACTTAATGCAATAAAACCCATCAGCTCTCTAGATTACCTGTAACTTGAAAGTGTCTTTCCTGTGTAATCAAAGGTCCTTCAGCCTGGAAGACAGAAAGATATTGGATCAGTTAGGATACCTTCAAAGCAGAAAACCCTGTGTCAGATAGTTACAATTATTTTTTTTCTGATGTTAGCGAGAAGAATACACAAGTTATGAAGGACTTCAAAAGTAGATTTGTCTTCAGAAAAATATGGCAGAGTCTCTCTCATTACAGCTGTTCATTCCATTTCGTTCTGCTTCTCAGAGTTCTGATTTTACCAGATTTTTTTTAGCCGCACCTGACTGGGAAAACCAGGAGTCCGGTCCTAGGGTATACTGCGTTACCTGAGTAATGATGATCCATAGGTCAAAACACTAAATATCTTCTCCATACTCTGGTTTTATTCTTAAGATTATTTTATTGACCAAGTACTTCTATAAAACTATACACAAGGGAAAACCGAGATAGCAAGAATTGCCACAGGGTGTTTTGCAACTCTGTGAGAAAAGACTGCAAATTCAGCACTCAGCGCGAGATTGTTCCCTTCTGAAACCCAACTCTGGAAGTCGTTTGGATCCTACAGCACACTGTGCAAACCAAGAGGGGCTGTTGTAAATTTTGTTATGCGTATCCTGTTTATAAAAATGTTTCTATTTAGACTATTATAGACCTCTTTAGGGAAGTACTAAACTGATGTCAGTTCTGGTTTGATCACCTAATTAAATGCTTGCTGATCTGTTTATAGCTGAAAAATGTCTTTATGTAGGCATTTTGTCACTGGGCTTCAGTCACAGGAAAAGAAGTGCTCTGGTTTGTACAAGGGTGTTGACTTGGCTTATTCAGAATTCTGAGGTTTTGTTTGTATTGCTTTTTTCTGTACAAGGTCATTTTTATGTTTCTTGTATATGGTTCTTAATGGCATTAAAATGCTGTGTATTGCATACATTGCCACTACTGTAACTGTATATGTTATATATAAGCTAACAGTATTTAGGTTATATAAAACTCACCCTTTCACAAAGAATGAGGTGACTTCTTCCCCCCACATATGTGTCTGAATACAGAAGCACAATATACTTTGTATCTTGCAGGTATGCAGCGTATAATTGTAAGTTTAATATTTATTGTAATCTTCCAGTTGCATACTCATTTGAGTAGCTTTTACCGATATACCAATCTCTTAAAAGAACCTTCACATATATTTTTCCCATGTATTTTCCTTTATATTCAAAATAATGTTCTCCTTCAGTGCTCCTAGAAAGAATTTTGTAGTTGTACTTGTAATCCTATACAATGTGTTTTCTTGAAAGAGTCTTTGAATATCAATAGTGCTGGGAACAACGTGTGGAACCTACAGTTGTTTGTTTAGAGAGAATTGAGGTCATGTCTGGCTGTACACCCTTGGAATGTTTGGCCCTTTCAATCTTGTATTTCAGCTTCAGCAAAACAGTAAAAATGTTCAATACCTAAGTCATACCATTAATCAGGATATGAGGAGTTTGAGGCCTTTCACATTTCTGAGTTCTCCTTGTTCTCGGACCAAGTGCTTTAATGGATGGGTTTTCACAGGCGGGAACTCAAGCTGATCTTCTTCCCCTGGCTGCTTAGGTATTAAGCAACACAATGCTCTGTGCTTTATTCAATGGTGTTGTACGATTTCTGCGTGTAGAATATCAAGCATCATAGCATGTGTCATGTCTTGGGATGTCTAGTTTCTAAGCCCCTGCTGACTTCTATTTGTGATAGGCACTGGATGTATAGTTTTACTGCATCTAAAAGATAAGCTTTCACGTACATTCCTGAAATGCTCTTCTGGATCTGGTGCTAGGAAGTTTTCCTAGGAAACAATATAAAAATATGTTTCGTTACTTGCACCTGTAGCAAATGGACCGCATACTTCCTTTCAGATATTTAAAAAACCCCAAAACTAATTATGATTTCAAACTGTGAAAAGGTTGAGACTGTGATTGAAGTTGTGGACAATTTGAACTCTAGAAAAAACATGTTTTCACAAACAGTTCTAGAAAAGTAGTGTGGAAATATGGTGTGTTTTTTATTTGGAAAGAGAAAAAGCCCTTGCTTCATCTTCCCATTTTGCCATCAGGAAATCCTTATTGCTAATTGGCTTTGTAGTTAGGGGTGGTAATCAGGTTTGACTCCAGATTTGCATTGGCTAAAGAACTGCCAAAGAATGGATTCCAAAGAACTGGATTTTATGGAGGTTTTAATTTTTTTTTTTTCCTGGCTGAGGTTTTGAGTTTCCCAGTATATAGATGTTGATATGTCTCTGTAGAAATGCTCTGACTGCAGCTCATCTCAAAGAACTTGTACAAACTTTCCCTGTGCTTAAACTTCAAAAGTGAGAGAACTGAAAGAAAACGAAAGCCTAAAATCCAAGATCCTAATGATCTTTCTGGAAATACTTCAATTATTTTGTAATGAGAATTTTATCAAATATTTAATTAGTTGTTTCAGAAAGTACAGTTCATGAATACAGATGTACTAACAGTCCACTGCTGCCACTTGAGGCTGGTTCTGCTCCCAGGTGCATACTTTCAGTTATCTCATACCAGTTCTTCCACTCAGGCTGTTCACTGAGCTGACTGAACTCACTAAACCAGCATGAAACGAATGTAAGCAAGAAAAAAAGCCCAGCGCATTTTTTCTGGGTGAACAAACTGAATCAGTCTGAGTATCAGAGCCAGCACAAAGGAATGGGTGGAATAGCCTGGTTTAGGGGGGTGGAACATTAAACGGAAGGAGAGGGAAGGAGAAGAGGTGGGACAACCATTCTTGACTTATGCAAGCTGTTAGACAGGCTCAGGTGTTCCCTTGAATGATACCCTGAACAGATGATTGTTGCTTGGACAAAGTCTGGCCTTGTCCATTCTCGTTTGTACAGACTGGAACATTGAAGATGAGTTTGAGAAAGAGTATAACAAATTCAAGGAGGGCTCATGGACTTCTTCATTACACATTCTTTATGGCAATCCTACTTTTCCTTCAGTACGAAAAGCTTCTGAATAGCACCTTTTCACTGGAACACTAGCCACCCCAAAGTGAGGTAACTGAATGTGGAGAGTACACGTTACATCTAGAGATGCTATAAGGCTGACTGACTTTCCTGAAGCATGTAACAATCCTAAAATCATGGTACTAATTGTTTGGGACATACTGACCCTCACTAATGTGGTGATCTTTACCAAAACTCATCTTGCTGAACAGCATGTGGAAGGTATGAACTTTTTATGTGATTAGGATAATATTTATCATTTATAACTAGCTAAATGCAGATGATGTAATAATATCTTAATATTGTTAAAACCTTTTAGAGACTGTGTGGGAAATTCCCACATAAGTGTACAATAGTTCTGTGACATGAAAATTCTGAACATGAATTATGGGAAAAAAAACACTTTCTGTGAGGATAGAACTGATATTGTTAGTATGGGATGTGTGCATTATTTAAAAGAAAAAAAAAAAAAAGTCTGGATTCCTTGGCAGTTGCATGCCAGTCCTGCAGCATGTGGTCTTTGTTGTCTTACCAGTTAGGACACTGAAGGAGTTAATAGGTAAAGTTTTAAGACTTAACAAGACTCTAAATTATCTTTAGAAATCACTTCTGTTACCGGTGTACAGAGGTGAATTTCCTATGGCATTGTTTCTGAAAAGGAAATGTTTAAATGACACAGTGGTGGTCTTTACAGAGGCAAAGAAAAATCCCTGTGTTGATTAGTAACACAAATCATTGCACTGTGCACAGATTTTGTCCAAAGAAAGGCAAGACCATAGCTGTTTTGAAAGCTATATTTAAAAATAGTTCTGGTTCTATTAGTCATTGTTCCATTCCAGAAATAAAAAGAATTTATGTTTAACTCTTTGCCTGCTCTACTGATTTACTTAAATTGCTTAAGAAAAACAGGAGGAAACGTTCTGGCCAGTAAGATTACTGAAGAAATTATTCTGCCTTGAGAAATAGTCCAATATTAAAGTTATACGGTATAATAATGAACAGCATGTTTACAAAATGTTACATATAGAGAGTATTTACT